TAATATACCCCATACTATATACCCCATACTACCCCCCATACTATATACCCCAAGTAATTAACAGGCAGCGCTCCATCCATGACAGGTTACACAGCGGGGGAGGGTTTCCCTTCTGTGCAACCTGTTACAAACCGATCTGCATGGTGAAAAAGCTGTCAGCTTCAGAATTGAAGCTGACAGCTTTTTCCTCCATAATACTAGGTGAGGCTCCGCCCCACCTGCCTCCCCTGACCGCACGTCCCTGCTATACAGCTGTAGCCAAAAGAGAAGAATTAGCCAAATAAAATAGAACTGGCAATTTTATGCGGCACTTTACACATCAGTCCCGGCCCTCTAGGAGCTTACAATCTCAGGTCCCCATCTCACATACATACAGGGCCAATTTAGACAATTAACCTTCCAGCATGTCTTTGGAGTGTGGGAGGAAACCGGAGTAGCCGGAGGAAACCTACACAACGAACAAGCAAACTCCATGCAGATCGTGTCCTGACCGGGATCCAAACCAGGGCCAACCACTACGCCACTGACTTGCTCCAATCTTTAAAACATGCTCCAATGCAGACAACAGGAGAAACAGATTTCAGGATCGTGTCATCAGATTCTTATTGTCACAAAGCACCTTAAGCCCTCGTTCTACGCTCGACGAACGCTCTACAAAACGCTCAAAAATATAAATCCCATTGTATTCAATGGTCTCGTTCCCACCTCGGCGTATTTCCACCCGTCCCTAACGCGCTACAAAACGGCCCACACCTGAAAAGGTACAGGTACTACTTTGGGCCGTTTTGTTGCGCGTTTCCATTGGGATACAGCCAAGTAGCCTTCGGAAACGTGCGACGGTCGCGCGACTTTTTTACCGCGAATCACGGTAAAAAAACGCGCGACGGACAGACGCGCATATGCAATACGCCTAGGTGTGAACGAGACCGAAGAATCCCGAACATTTGTACGATCTGTTCACAAATACTTCTATTGTTCTGTTTACAAGAAAAGCGGCATCTCCACGACACAAACACAACAGAAAACAGACTTCAATGTGCCGACATGTTACCATCAAAAGTTACAATGAACCTTCGTGTGCCAAAAACAAGGCAAAGATTCCCGTTTGTACCTTGATGTGCTTCACTCCACAACTGACCAGCTTGTTGGGTTGGTAGAGATCCCAGGAGATGTCAAAGATCTGAAATGATAAATGATATCACAGAGCAGCTACTTAGAAGATGTGATACAATATGAAGTGTGCCCTATGTGTATGGTTACATTGTATCAGGTAAAGTAGTACTAAAGGAGTATTTTACCTTAAAAGAGAACTATGTGGTGTTTTCCCCATAGTTCTCTTCAGGGCAGCCATCAGAAATTTTGGGGCCCCTTACACGGCTTTAGGCCGGGCCCCCCCTGCGCCGCTGGACGCAGGGCTTAGTGACGCGCTGGACGCAGGGCTTAGTGACGCGCTAGACACAGGACCCACCTGAGAGTGACCCTGCAGAGCCCACCATAGATGCTGCACAGCCCATCTGAAACTGTCTATGGTGCATCCCTCCTTTCCTTCCTTCCTTCCTAGCTCCTCTTACCTGCACACATGGCCTCTTCTGCCGCCGGACCGGTCAGAAGTGACGAGCAGCGTCGCTGATGGGGGCCTAGCTTGTCTCAAAGCCGCTGGAGCGGCAATGCCTGGGCCCTGCGCTGCTAGGACCAGGCCTCCGCCTCGTTGCCCTTCACCGTCGGCCGATAGTCATATAAGGGACCCGGGTGGGCCCCCCAGGCTGCCCGGGCCCTTTACATGAGTGTTGGCCGTACCCCCCTGATGGCTGCCCTGGTTCTCTTATGGGGTCACGGGAGGACATATACTAGCGTCCTCCCGTGACCCAAAGCTCAGTATATCGCAAGCTACAGCTGTCTATATACTGAGCCAGCTGTGCCCGCCCCCTCCCCCGTCCGTTCCTCCAGTCAGCACTGGAAGATTCTGAGCCGGGAGGGGGGGGGAATCCCTGCGGGGAGCAGTGAGTGACAGTCACAGCTCTCTGCAGGTGAGATGATCGGGAAGCGAGCGAGCGACGGTATGTGTTCTCTCACTTCCGATCTATTGAGCCGACGTGTGACAGTTTCATTGTCGCACGTCGGCTCGAACTATGAGGATGAGTGATTTTCAGCAGCAGCGTGCACCCGCACAGACTCCCTGGGACATGAGAGAAGAGGAGGACAGGGGAGCCAGCACTGGATCAGAGACCCGCACCCAGCGCTGGAGGAACAGCTAAAAACTACACTAAAGAAGAAGATGATCGGATTAAGAGGGATCATTTAAGGTAAGTCCTTACTTTAGCACTGTGGAGGGGGGGGGGAGTTTAGCCCTTAATGTCACTTTAAGGATACTTTGGAGCGGAGCGCAACATAGTAGCTATTTTGTGTTTAAAATAGCTGAATGATTAGGCTCTGATGGAAGCTGCTATTCACCAACTCATTGATGTACACTAGTTCTGGGCCAGTGACGTTAAGCCTAGGCACTGTGCTGAAATTAAATCTGAGCTCATGAGTCAGGGAATGTCTTATGTCCCGACCTCTGTGGCAGAATAGAAAGATCCGCTTAATGCAATTTGAGTTCAAACAGACAATGAGCACCTTGTCAGAAGCTGACACAAGCAGAAGACCTGAGAGACACATGTGACCCCGAGCCACCCATCATACTGCTGCTCTAGAACATCACACCCTTCCCATGTAGATAATGAACACACGTACCCTGTCTGTGTGACCCGGAGCCATAGACAGCAGCTTCCCCTTCCTCCAGTCCCAAACGCAGATGGTGTTCTTGGAGTCGAGGCCCACAGACACCAGGCGCTGATGTCCAGACACATATCCGGGGGCGGCAGGAGAGAGGAGAACGTGAATAAGACGAGACAATACATTGCAAGCGCGTCGCATTCAATGCATAACGCAACGGAACCGGGATAAACTTTTTGGGCTGAAGTGACAGTTGATAAGGGATCCCATGAGAAAGCTCCAGCGACAGTTGACATCACAAGAACCCTTCTGTCCTTTATGAGGAAACGGCAATGGTTTCTGGTCAGAGTTATTCAAGACAATGTTCAAGTTTATATACAGTATATATAGGAGACTCATCTTGGAGAGCATGTGATATGCTGAGGAGGAACCATCATCCAGGAGGATCACT